GTGCTGAGTAGAGGGGAAGGATCATGTGTCTCCACCTGTTGGCAATGTTTTTCCTTATGTAGCCAAGGGTACCATTGGCCACCTTTGCAGCAAGGGCACACTGCACTCTCATGTTCAACTTGCTGTCTGTGAGGACCCCCAGGTCATTTTCTGGAAGCAGCACAACACTCTGCAGCATCAGCCACTCCCCCCCAGTTTTGGTGCTGTCTGCAAAATTGCTAAGAGTACACTCTACCCCATCATCCAGATCATTAATGAAGATGTTAAGCAGGTCTTGATCCACTATTGACCCCTGGGGTACACTACTAGTCACTAGACTTTTTGCCACTGATCACCACCCTCTGGTTCTGGCCATTGTGGTGGGTTGACCTTGGCTGGCTCCCAAGTGCCCACCAAGCTGCTTAGCAGGACGGGGGAGAAGAATATGACAAAATGCTCGTGGGTCAAGATAAAGACAGGAAGATCACTCACCAATTACTGTCACAGGGAAAATAGACTTGGCTTGGGGAAATTAATGTATTTCAAATCAAACAGTTGGATAATGAGAAATAAGAACAAATCTAAAAATAACTTCCTCCCAACCTTCACTTCTTCTCAAGCTCAACTTCATTCCCAACTCTTCTATCTCCTCCCCATGCAATAGGGGATAGTCCCTGTCACAGGGGGACAAGGAATGGGGGTTGCGGTCAGTTCGTTATGTATTGTCTCTGCCTCTCCTTACTCTTCATACTCTTCTCCAGCTCCAGTGTGTGGTCCTATCCACAGGATACAGTCCTTCACAAACTTCTCCAATGTGGGTCCTTTCCATGGACTGCAATTCTTCATGAACTGCTACTGCATGGGTCCCCCACAAGGTCACAGATCCTGCCAGAAAACCTACTCCTTTGTTGGTTCCTCTCCACAGACTGCAGTCACATCCACCTGCTCTGGTGTGGGTTCCTCACAGGCTGCAGTGTGGATCTCTGCTCCACCATGGACCTCCATGGGCTGCAGAGGGACAACCTGTCTCACCATGGTCTTCTCCACAGGCTGCAGGGGAATCTCTGCTCCAGCTCCTGGAGCACCTCCTCCCCCTCCTTCTTCACTGACCTTGGTGTCTGCAGAGTTGTTGCTCTCACATATTCTCACTCTTCTCTCCCAGCTGCTGTTGCACATCAGTTTTTTACCCTTTCTTAAATATGCTGTCACAGAGGCACAACAAATGTTGCTGATTGGCTCAGCTATGGCCAGTGGTGGGTCCGTCTTGCAGCTGACTGGAACTAGTTCTGTCTGACATGGGGACAGCTTCTGGTGTCCCCTCTCAGACACCACCCCTGGAGCCCCCTGCTACCAAAACCTTGTCATGTAAATGAAATAAAGCCACTGAGCCATCTCCCTGTGTGCTCATCCAGCCCATATTTCATCAGCTTCTCCCCTGTGTTCGGTTTCTGTGGTGGTGGTGGTGTTTTGTAGCAGAAAGAGTGGAGAAAATCAGCATTGATAGAGGAGTGGGATGTGAGAGAGACAAGTCAGACACCAAAAGTCAGTGAAGAAAGGAGGGGAGGAGGTGCCCCTGCAGCTATAGACCATAACCTATGTGCTACTGGCAAGAGAGGAGGGAACCTGGGAAGACGGGGGAGGTGGGGGGAAGGGTTTTTTTAAGTTCTAGTTTGTTCTGTCTCTCATAGTCTTACTCTGATTTTGTTTGGTAACTGATTAAACTGACTTTTTTGTCCCCAAGTCGAGTGTGTTTTACCCTTGACCATAATGGGTGAGTGACCACACTGCTTCCTTGTATTTTCTCCTCACAGGATCACAGGATACTGTTATGATAAGCGTATTCCAATGTAATAAAAATATTATGAAAACATCTAGTCTTGCTTTTAAAATGTCAAATTTTCCATCAAGAACTTCAAAGTTTGCAGTTTTTATACAAAACATTGCATAGATAACAGTTGGTTCATGAGATCCCAATTTTTCCAATGAAAATTTCTAATTTTCTGTTGGATATACACTTTTCTGAAAAGTATATTGGTTTATCTGATTGTGCACAGAAAAGAGACAGTACTCAGCTTTTCACCTTGTAAATATCACACAGTCTAGTTCCCTCTTCTGCATTTTATCTATTTAGAATGCCTGGGACTTGGAAATTTATTTTACTTAAATCTTTGCACACCTTAACTGATTTAGGGGATGAACAAAGTTCTTCAAAACTACTTTATATAGATACTGTTGGCAAGAATAAATAAAGCAGATCCACACTATTTTTATTAGTATCCAGTGAAAGTAGAAAAGGCAATGGGAGCAAATTGAAATATAAGAAATTCCACTTAAACATAAGAAAATGTTTTGGATTTTTTTTGAACACTGAAAGAGTTTGCCCAGGAAGGTTGTGGAGTCTCCATCTTTAGAGATATTCAAAACCCCACTGTACATGGTCTTGGGCAACCTGCTCTAGCATTTTATGTTTTTCAATTTGTGTCCATTGCCCCTTGTCCTGTCACTGGGGACTGCTGAGAAGAGTCTGGCTCAGTCTTTTACTCCCTCCCACCAGGTATTTATACACATTGATAAGATGCCTATGTTGTAGGAGTACTGATCTCTAGCTCAGCCACAGCTATGCCTGTGGCTGGTATGGATCCCATTGGTCTGGACCCCAACACATGGATTGGTTTTCTGGCTTGACCTTGGATCTACCTTGCCACTAGGGACTTGCCCAGTGATCAGTAGACTGTGCCTGACCCTGGTTATACACACCAGACCTGAATCTGATTTGTGAACTGACTTCCTGGCTTGACCTCGAACCTGCCTCATCACCACAAATTTTTCTGATGATCTGGACTCTTCGTTGAGTCTGACTACCATACTGGATATTGTGGGACTGGGCCCAGGCTGGTGAGGGCCCTGCTATGCATATCATGGCGCTCAACTCCCAACTCCCCATCCTTTAGGGACAAGCCAGCCCTCACTACTCCCTGACAGTAAGACAGCATTGAAAGCCTTGCTATAGTCAATATATACAATATCCATTGCTCTCCCCTCAGCCACTAAACCAGTCCCCTCATTGTAGAAGGCTATTGGATTGGTCAAGCATGATTTCCCCTTTGTAATTCCATGCTGACAACTCCCAATCATCTTGTCCTTCATAGGTGGGCTTTGGCTTTCCTAACACCATCCCTGCACACCCAGACAGTCTCTCTATATTCCTCCTGGGTTCCCTGACCCTGCTTCCACCTCTTGTATACTTTCTTTTTATGTTTGAACTTTGTTAGGAGCAACTTGTTCATCCATGCAGGCCTCCTGCCACCTTTGCTTGACTTCCTGCATGTCGAGGAGGTAATCTTTGAAAATCAACCATCTCTCCTTGACCCCTTTGCCCTGTAGGACTGTCTCCCATGGGATTATTCCAAGTAGAGTCCAGAAGATGCCCAAATATTCTCTCATCAAGTCCAGGGTCAGTTCTTGCCAGGAGGAAGAAATCAACACAAAGCTTAACCTAATAACAAGCTCTTCTATAATTTTATATATGTGCTGCTTAAGGTAATAAAAATGAACAACAGAAATTTAAATTCAAAGCTTTTATTACTTTTTTTTCAGTATGTGGGAAAATAACCCAAGACTGCCAAGAAGTGTCTGTTCAGAAGAATTGCATCATATTTTACTTTTATTATTACTTTTAAAAGATGTATCAGTTTTTAGGTATGTATTCTTCATGTCTACTGATATCAGACTCCAGTGATATCAACTGCAGATCTGACAAACCTTTATTTTTCACAAGAGAAGTTAATTTCAATTAGAGGTTAAACTTTGCCACATAAATGAGGACAGGTAAGTCTCTAAAAACTAGAAATATGGAAAAGTAGTTTCATTTAACATCGTACCTCTGTTTCTGCTGCATGGGTTGCTGTCGCATAGCCATATATTGTATGTCCTCTTGCAGCCGATTAAGGGGAGATTCTGGTTTGACACGAATCCCATAATAATGGTATTTGGAGTTCCCCCTTTATGAAAGGACAAAAATGATATTAGTTTTATGCATATACATTATACTCACTTCACAATTTGCCTTGACTGGAAAACAGTACATAAAAGTTAGGCTTGACTTTCCTCTCACTCCAGTATAAAACTGGTATAACACCACCAGCTTCTGGAAATCAGTTCATTTAAACTATATTTTCTAGCACTTTACTGCTGGACTTCATTTAAACAGAATAAAGAAAGCAAAACCCAAATAAATTGCTTATGCAGTCATGGTGAATAAAACCATTCCATAAATGGGATATACTTGTGAGTGAGGGTTTGCCGATGTTTCACTAGTCACCTTCAGTCCTGATCAGCTGGGGAGGAAGAACAGAATTAGGCTATCTGCATTTATTTGAGTGCTATTGGTGTCTATGTGTGGGCTGGTAAAGGCATTGCTCTGTGTTAGCTTGTGGTTTAGCTGTGATGATATCATATGTGTGTATATCTGCATCTTTGGATCACATGTTCAGTCTCACTACCAGATGGACCTGCAAATGGGAACAGCAGTAGCTACATCCATTGAACTAAGATGATAGATATCTGGGTCTGAAGAGTACACAAAATAGCAGACCATGAGTCCCCTGGGTTCTGAAGACCACTGGATTCAGCAACTCCCTTAACAGTAAGGTTTTAAAAATTTTTTTTTTGTTTTTTTGTTTGCTTGCTTGTTTTTACAAGATTCATGTTCACACTTATTATTGCTACTATTATACTTCAAAATTTCATTAACGCAAACCTGGTTCCCAGTCTTCTGGTCCGTAACCCCATGAAGATTGACCGTATGAGTTTTCCAAAGGAGGCAGCATTGACCGGATCTAACTTATGCTCCTGACAATGACGTAAGTAATGATTGTAAAGAGTACTTCTGGGAAGACTCACTCCTTCTGCGGTTTCATAGTTGTCTAAAAGCCATTGGAGCTAAAACAAATATGAAAGAGTGAACATATGTAAATTCAGTATTACTCTACTAAAAAAACTTAAGTGTACAACACAGGCGTCTGATATTTTTTAGACCACTCTTAAGTCTTGTTTACTACAGTGAATTCATTCTTCAAGCAAATATAATGTCTTTAAATCTCTTTCAATGCTAAATATGTCATGATGCCTTAGTATCTTTTAGAATTACAAGGAAATAACAAAACTCATTGCACTTGTGACTTCAAATATCTCCACTTCTAAAAATATTTCAGATTCAGTACCATACATTAACATTTTATGAATTTATTTGTGCTTTGGAAACAAATTGTTGGAACTCCAAGGAAATAAAATAATCCATGTACTTTATATTAATTGCAGGAAAAAAATAAAATAAGTTAGTTAATACAGTTTTAATTCTGGAATGTTGTACTATTTCTCTTCACCTGAACTTAAAAAAATACAAATGAAAAAAACCCACTATTTAACCGAATAGGGTTTATTTTCTCCAAAATACAAAGAAGAAACTATCAAAAATAAGGTAACAAGCAATCCAGATGACATGAAAAATAACTGGTACATTATATAAAATATTATGGGCACGATCCCCTTTCTGTTTCTTTTTTTTTTTTCCCCTGTGTAATTTAACGTAGTATTTTGGTGAACAATTTTGGAAGCATGTAGACAAACAGTTTCTAATACATCATTGTAGCTTCGTATAGAACAAATAGTAACTAACATATGCAAAAACCCCAAGTAAAACAGTCATTTCAATGACATTTAACAGTATAGGAGAACAACAAAATAAAATGGAAATATTTTTATAGTGGTCATATGTAAATTCTGTGGTTTCATGGTTTTGGGGATGCTAACAACTTACCTAGGTTATATCCCCTCCCCCCCATGGTTTCATATCCTTGGAATTTCCCTTTAACTTCATCTGGAATAATTCCCAGATTGTGTTATCTGCTTGCATTTGCTACTTAATTACTTA